GGTTTCTTCCCAAGCAGTGTTGCTCTTCTCTGATAATGCTTGTAATTTAGACTGCCTGATTTTTAACAAGTGTTGCAGATTTGTAATAAACAATCCAATGAAGAGCATGAAATGAGTATTTCCCAACTGATTACAACAGTAGTGATAGCATACCTGTGTAATGGGACAAATGAAGTTCACCTGACTCTGAGTCACGGCTATATCTTCATCGATCTGTTCAATGGCCTCATTATCATTATCTGACTGATGACAAACTATAATAAGAAACAAGACAATTTTCATTTAATACTCAATATAGATAGTCAATACTTAAAATAAGCAATAAAACCCTGCATTTGCCAAGCATTATCTCACAGTGATATCTAAGATGCCACAATGTATTTCCGTACCACACCCTGAACAAGATACTGCAAAAAATACTGTACTATAGTCTCTGTCAGAAAATGTGGATTTTTAAATGGTCATCACTTTTGTGTGTCTGTGTTCCTACTTATAGCCAACACTGGAAAGGCCGGCTGGGGAGGAAAGCAAGCTGGCCTGAGTATATGCACAGCCAAACCACCACAGGTATCCTCCGTTCCAGTTCACCAAAAACCAGTAGCATGCAGATAAGTCCCCAAAATTTAACAAAGTATGAGGTGGAGCTTTCACAGATTTGGCAGTCCTACCCTGAAGATCAGTTTTTGTTTGAATGTCATAATTGGGCTAGCTATATAGCCTGTATACACAGTATATATACTCAAAGAAATTTGCACTATTTATTATAATACATCATTTGTAAAGTGATGCCTCTGTATTTGAACAAGACTATAATTAGGGAAAAACAAAAGCGAAGAAAGTGTCATTTGAGATGGACAACAGATATGTTACTAAAGTAACCTGAAGGAGGAGAGGCAGAAAAAAATACTCCCAGAAAACACTTGATAACCCCGTGCCAGGGAATGAGGGGCAGACAAACAAGAAGAAATCCACCTTGAGCTAGAGAAGATACAGGTCCCCACCTTTTCCAGAAGAAGAAGGTGTAAGCAGCTCTGTGTACCCAGGGGCATGCCAGCCCAGGGTTCCATGCAGCAACTCATTAGCCAGAGTCAAAGGCTGAGACACAGGAGCAATTAAGGAGGATGTATATTGCTAAGTCAAACCTTAATAAATCTGTATGTGTTGTTTTCCTAACTTTGCTCTGTTCTTGTGAATCTAGGCTAGCTGAATGCATTTGTTTATCTTTAAATCTTATCTGGTAATAACAGCAAATGTAACACCTGCCATAACTTTCCATTCCTTTGGGGTAGTTCTGCAATGTTTTTGTAGCAGTGCCCTGGGGTGTAGTCCTCAAGGTGTCCCAAGCTGAACAGAACATTTTTCTCTCTAGTTGCACAAGCTAGTTTGCAATTTGTTAATGCAGGGTTCGCAGAGGACAAAATCCTTCCTTCAGCGGTCTGCACTGGCTTTGACTGCCCAGGGGCAGTGAGAAACACAAGGGAGCACAAAGGGTTTAGAGTTATTTCATGATTTGCCTTCTACAAAGTCACAGCCTTGGTTCCCTTTGCTGCTGTTACTGCACGCTGTCAGCCGATCTTTGCATCTCTGCATCCCTGATATTCAGACTTCCATATCTGTCAAGGACCAGCGTTTCCTAACTTATGGTCGGTCCCGCATGCCTGTATAATACCATCACCTTCCGGCTGATAAGAGCAGAGACATCACTCTTGGAGCAATCGCAATCTCTCACACCCAGTCTAGACTGAGCACGCTGTCGTGTGAGCCAGCACTTCTCTCGTCGAGGTGCCCTTGGCATCGGTATTGCAGCCACCACTCCACCACAGCACCTCTCCAAATGTTGGGTCTATTTGCATATTTTCCCTTCCTCTTTAACAGAGCCTGCCCTTCTCTCCATTCCAATATACCAAGAGCTTTCCAAGTATTCAGGAATGTTTCTGACCCAGGTACCCCTAGAAATACTTAGGCAATCCTCAGGCAAGCATAAAGAGTATTTCTGTTTCTGTTAGTAAGGCCTCATTCAATCAATAGGGTGTGAATGCAGGGGGAAAGGGAGCTCAAATGTCCAACATCAGTAATAATTCTAAGGCCTTCATCTCCAAAAATATTAACATACCTTTATCAGATACTGACCCCCTAACAAAAGTAAACACTTGCAAATCAGAAGCAAGAAGTGGGCACAATTTAACTGAAAATACCAGAACTGCGATCAGAAAAAGACTTGCATCAGTTACCAGTTTTCAGAAGAGAAAACCTATTCTTAGACTGCTTATATGTGAGGTTTATTCTATCACAAACACATAGTATTTTGAAGCAAATATGACTTTTTGGGGAAAAAAGTCTGTTTTTTAAATGAAGTTTTTGAAATACACAGGAATGTGTGAAATCACACTGAGATAGCAAGGCTAAACAATATTTCAAATATTGGTATGTGCCAGCTTTGGCATGAGCTGCTTTATTTAAATATCATACTGATGTTTTTCCAATGAGTAATGCCAACGAAGAACAAGAGATTTAGAATTTCCTTAAATTTATGTATCTGCAAATTTTGACATACTGCAGCTTTCATCTTTCCTCTTGAAAACATCTGGAAACTCACATTTTTCTCCATTGTACTTTATCTCAACTCATGAACATGGCTGTAGTTCCAGTGTACCAGCATATCACATCGGTCAACAAAGTTCGAATGCAGCAGCACTGGTAAGATCTAGGACAAGTGATTGTTTACAAGGGATTGGTTTTGGGGATATCAGTATGTAGATAGGCCAAGAAAGGTGGGTAATGTTTTAAAAAGCGAGGCTTGTGCCTACGATTTTACTTTTCAAGCTCAGCACTCCATGTCAGGCATGCAAGCAGCCTCTTCTCGAAGAGTATTCACCTCACGTAGCACCTTCTGACTTCGCTAAGGAGCCCCCACTTCACTCATCACTTCTGTGTGTGCTTGCTTAGGTACTGACACAAGAATTTAGGAGACTGTGTTGAAGCATCCAAGTTTGAAAATATGAGCTCCAGCTTGGCTACTGGTGCTTGAGTCTCCCCTGAAGGCCTCAGGTCTCGGAGTTATGTGAACTAAATCACAGGCTGGGTTTAATTCTTTCTCATACTGGCTTTGGAGGAGATTTAGATGTCTCATGTTTAATGATTGAAATTCTATGAGTTGAGACCCATTGCTTGTAGGTGGAATATATTAATCTTCCTGGATTCAAATCGTCCTCTTGCTGCAATCTCATCTTAAACACTTCAGGTTGCACTTCATTTGCAACGATTTTGTATACAGTCTACCAGAGTGGGGTCCTGGTTTCAAGAGGTTACCGAAACACAAATGAATAATTATTTAAAATATTTCCCTTTCATAAGAATATGCAAGACTGGGATGATGCAAGTGGTATCTCAAACATGTCAATAGCAAATTAACTTAAGTCACATAAACCACCCACAGATTTGTTGTTATTGTTTGATGTTCTAGAGGAAAGAGGAAAATAACTTTTTTCAATTAAATTTTGCAGAAATTACTCAAGACACACAAGCATCCCAAACTCATCATAAGATGCTGTAAACCACAGATCTATAACTGTATATTCATACGGGAAGATGTTTTTTATTAAAGTCAAAGGGATTTTTTGCCAAATGGAATGTATAAAAGTTTGGAGGATCTAACTTGCAAGTCTGACTGTTCTATAGAAAGAAGAAATAAAAACACTGGACCATACATATTTCAGCTAAGTCAGGTTACATTTTTGTAAAACCAAGTTTTCCTTGCAAATTAAAACCAGCTGCAGAAAACACTAAGTCATTGTTCCTGAAAATATGATGTTGCCTTAAATAACAGAAGTGCATATATCTATTTTGGTAGTCTGAGAGATTACATTTTAGGAGTTTTCATTCCAGCCAACTGAAACCTGTTATGAGTATTAGTAACACATTTTCTATCTGGCTATGTCAGCAATGCTGTTCAGAGCTAATTAGTGCCCACTGTTGTAATAAAACTGCATTCTCATAAAGGTATCTATTTTTGGTAACACAACATAATGAATTTTGCAACTGCCAACTGTTTTTTACTTATTCAATTTTAATTAAAAGCTGGTAGTACTTTATATCTCAATCACTTTCATCTCTTGATAAAAATGTGACTAATATGCCTTAGCTCAGTTTTTACCTACACTGCTGAGAGAGACCAAGAGCTTTCAAGCCAATGTCTAAATATAAGAAAACTGCGGTGTGGAGACATTAACTGCTATATTGTGGATTATATTAAGCATGGATAGTATACACATTAAAAAAACATTGGGGGAAAGATCCTCTCCATTGTCACTGTCACCTCCATGACAGACAGATTGCTGGGTGCTTGCTGCTTCCAGTCCCAGCTACGTCCTCTACCCGATTTCTGTTTCTCTAATCTGTCCCTGAGTGAGTGCATGTTGCAATGTAAACTTAATGGATTTCTTTCCTTTTGTGCTGTGCTGTTCTGCCTCCTCACCTGCCATCAGTCAGACGCTAATCCCGGAAATCAAAGGGCAACGTTAAGCATGCAGGATTGAGTCTTTGTAAGCCTGAGCCACTAGACAGACAAGGTCTTGGCTCCCAAGAGGGTCTATTGTACTTGCTGACTCTATAGAAATAACAGCAACTCATCCAGGCTGGGAAAAATCCTATCTCTGAGAGCTCCAAGAAAAACATGAATGTTATGAGGGCAAGTCAAATGCCAAGTGTTCCTGCCAGCAGGACACAGAAAATAATGAAAGGTGGGGGAGATGAAGGACATCATTACATCCAAGAGTCGCATTTTAAGAGTCGGAAGGAGTCTGGGGCACCACTAGCAAGGGGTGAGGAAGGTCCAAGGACAAGTGTAAAGGAGAGGATGATCCCAAACACTGCCTTCTATGGAACACACTGCTGAGACCACCACGGGCAATGCTTAAGAGCAAGTCAGCATTCCTTGTAGTGCTCTGAATTTGTGATGGACTTCAGATCCAGAGAAGCAGAGCGGAACAACTGTCCAGTGTGACCCCCTGGGACAGATTCACAGTAAATGCTGTAGGAGGAGTGAAAGAAGAGAGGAAGCACAGAGGAATACCTTCCTGGCAAACTTTCCCAGTCTCTAGCAATTTGTGGCCAAGGACTTCCTGAGTCAGATGTAATATCTTTTTATTTAATAAGCCCTGGAGTTTTCCTCAAATGAATTTGTCTAAACTTGGAGAGGGGAATTTGGGCCTGGACTTTTCAGCTTGATTAGAGACAGTTATCTTTGCTAGAAAGGTTAGCAACTGCAGAGGCTGCAGGTTACAGTTTAATTTGATTTTTAAGAGGGAAAAATAAGATGTGCAAGCTACAGCTGCAGTCAAACAGTTCAAAGGCTTTCTGCTTTTGCCAGAGGCATGTGATAGTTTAATTTGCCAACGAAGCCAAACTAGGCTTTGCATTAAAGTACATTACATTTTGATTACTTGCTGGTGTTGCAATACACAAGTTGATCTAAGGAAGGTGGCCTCTAACATGTTGCTCCAGATTGCAATTGCAAATTTACTTGCTCCTGCCCAGGCCAAGAAATTTACTGACAAGTCCCTTGTATGTGCCCTGTGTTACACGGACTTGTGTAAGAGGTACGTAGACATGCCTTTGGTCAATCCAAAATAAAATGACAATCCTGTAAATACAAGCCATTCTGATTTTCCTAGAGTGTGAAAGACAAATTAGATGAACAAATTAGCAAACTGTTAACTCCTTTATGTAGTAAGAGTGAGGAAGTATCCTGCACTAAGCAACAATCCTCTAAAAGCTCCTTTAATGTCATCAAATTCCTAGCATTTGCAATTTTACAGTATTTTCTCCCACTAAGCTAAAGGCCTTCTAAAATGCACTACTCCTAATGGAAATACCATTCCTGTTCTATGCTTTCAATACAGGGTACAGCTGGTTGATCCAAGTTTTCCAGAATGACCTTAAACTGAAGAGGCACTATGATTTGATGGAAATGTTATGGGACACTTGTTACAGAATGGTAAGTGAAGGAGACAGAAAGACATTTGAAGCTAGATACAACTGGCTGTTTAATGTATTAATAAATACAACATGACTACAAACCTCATCTAGAAAAAAGAAAACAAACTCCAGAGGTGCCTCGTGAAACCTCCAACTCATACACTATTTGAAGTGACAAGCAGGACATCACCTTTGCCTTTAGCTTTTGGGAATTTCAGACTGTTGTGCAGTGGGAGCTGTGTCCCTAGAAATGTGAACAGAGGGGATATCATTTATTATAACCCACATAGCTGCAACAGTTTAGCAGGCAAACACACAAAGGCAGCTTTGTTGCTGCCTCTGTTATTGCAAACAAACATGAGAAATCCACACTTCAAAGTCAATGGATGACATTTCAAACAGCAGTTTCCTCATGACTCCAGTCTGGACTCGAGTTGAAGAAGCTCCTGGGGGAAATGAAGATTACCTAAAAAGATGTCATGAAAGCTCATCAGGAAGTTCAGATGAGCCATTATTTCTGGAAAATCTAAGGAGGCCATATTCTTCCACCTTAACTATCATCACCCACAATAGCGCGTAAACTTAATACGTTAAACACCAAAGGCCTGCTGAAAATAAACCTAACTGATGAACAGACCACGTATATGTCCAGGAAACTCTAGATCTACATGAAAGGATGCCAAGCATGTGAGCATAGAGCAAAAGTGTTAGGGATGCCACAGTACGAGCAAAGCAAGACCAAAACCGGAATATCTTACAAGGAAAAAATATATCAGACACAAGCTACTAAATTGCAAATATATGTAAAGAACTTTTTAT